TTGGACCTTTGGGGAAGCAAATCTGTTCAGAATGGTTGTTAAAAATACATTGTTCTAGGGTATTGGACAATAGTGAAACCAGAGATGCACATTGACTGTGTGGAGCTCATCTACTAGAGGGGAAAGCACAGGAGAAAGGTTTAAAATATTAAAGCTGCCCTCTGTGAAATCTGCTATTGTATATGATTACTCATCACAGCACCTCTCTACCTCCTCAGAGAGATCATTTTCTACATCTGATTAAGAAAGAAACCCCATTCTCTGAGCTTTGACACGAGAAAGACTTTGAAACTCCTTCAACTTTTCTGTATCATCATCATCGCAGAGAGCCCAATCCTGCAATGAGCAGAGTGCCTTTAATTCACCAATATCAGCATCATCAAACCTGCATAGCCTGTGGGTGACCATCGCACCATTCAGAGTGATCACTGTGGATGGTGTCGCACCAAACATTGGTGTAGCGAAGTTTCCAGATCTGACTCAGTTCTGCAAATCATGAATCTCTAGGGCAGCGCCATGGACAGTGCCAGGTAGGGTCATGGTGTCCACCCATTTACATGTTGATGGAGTGTGCCGGGATGTTTTTGTCCATCCTGGTGACATGGCTGAAGAGTGTGCAATGCCTCTTTGGAATATAATGAGTGACTGAAGGAAGCCCAGATCTCTGTGAGATGACGACATTTTGCACAAAGTTAATCCACATTATGCTCAAGATTTGGCACTGAGAGCACATATGGAATGCCTCTAGCCACTCCAAGTCTGCCTGTAAGAGGGTTTCTGATCCCTAAAGCAATACAGATAATACCCAGGTTTGATAGATCTCAGTGCAAGTCATTTTTGTATCTATATGTGAGACATGGACTTTCTGCAGGACGTGGCAAGGTCTATTCACCAAAGACTATGTGGTTTGCTGTGACAGTTGGAACTGGTCTTGCAGCCTAGGTAAATGAACTTGTCTATGTTCTCCACTGTACTCAACTCTGTCTGCTCCAGAGGTTCTTGTCGCGCAGAGACATTCAACCCCATAGTGCAGGTAGCATCTTGGAGACTTTAGAGGGCAGGGATGAAATTCTCTGACTTCTGCACAAGCAAGGCATCACTGACAGTCCAAATTCAGAACAGTAGTTCTGAATTATCTTCCCAACAGGAGTTGTGCTGGATTATATCCAGTAGCTATTATCGGTGTTTATCTGTAACTTTAAAGAGCAAGGAATGGATCTTCATACTATAAGGTTTTCTTGGCTGTCTATACAGATCTCTTACCATCTCCATTCCCTTGTGCGTAATGTGGGCTGCTCATAATAGGCTCAAAATAATATCTCGTTTGGAATGACAAGTTCTCTTGAAGTGAATTGTGGTCACTGTAGCTCATGAAAGCTCATGCTCAAATAAATTGGTTAGTCTCTAAGGTGCCACAAGTACTCCTTTTCTTTTTGCGAATACAGACTAACACGGCTGTTCCTCTGAAACCTGTCTGTCACTAGTTGTTCTGGAATACTGTAGTGAGCAAAAGTGCCCTTCTGTTTCTCAATAACACTGCAACATATTATGCCTTTCAAGTACATCTAAATACCTGGAAAAACAGTCCACTATGACTAGGTAATGATGAACCTGCATAAGTTGGAAGCTAGTCTCTTCCTAAGTCTCTCTAGTAGAAGTGTTTGTACACTGTATGATTCAGCATCATCATCTCAAGTTGTCATAAATATAAAGGGAAGGGTAAACCCCTTTGAAATCCCTCCTGGCCAGGGGAAAGCTCCTCTCACCTGTAAAGGGTTAAGAAGCTAAAGGTAACCTCGCTGGCACCTGACCAAAATGACCAATGAGGAGACAAGATACTTTCAAAAGCTGGGAGGAGGGAGACAAACAAAGGGTTTGGGTCTCTCTGTGTGCTGCTCTTGCCAGGGACAGAACAGGAATGGAGTCTTAGAACTTTTAGTAAGTAATCTAGCTAGGTATGTGTTAGATTATGATTTCTTTAAATGGCTGAGAAAAGAATTGTGCTGAATAGAATAACTATTTCTGTCTGTGTATCTTTTTTGTAACTTAAGGTTTTGCCTAGAGGGGTTCTCTATGTTTTTGAATCTAATTACCCTGTAAGATATCTACCATCCTGATTTTACAGGGGGGATTTCTTTATTTCTATTTACTTCTATTTTTTATTAAAAGTCTTCTTGTGAAAACTGAATGCTTTTTCATTGTTCTCAGATCCAAGGGTTTGGGTCTGTGGTCACCTATGCAAATTGGTGAGGCTTTTTATCCAACATTTCCCAGGAAAGGGGGGGTGCAAGTGTTGGGAGGATTGTTCACTGTTCTTAAGATCCAAGGGTCTGGGTCTGTAGTCACCTAGGCAAATTGGTGAGGCTTTTTACCAAACCTTGTCCAGGAAGTGGGGTGCAAGGTTTTGGGAAGTATTTTGGGGGGAAAGACGCGTCCAAACAGCTCTTCCCCAGTAACCAGTATTAGTTTGGTGGTGGTAGCGGCCATTCCAAGGATAACGGGTGTAATATTTTGTACCTTGGGGAAGTTTTGACCTAAGCTGGTAAAGATAAGCTTAGGGGGTTTTTTCATGCAGGTCCCCACATCTGTACCCTAGAGTTCAGAGTGGGGGAGGAACCTTGACAGCTAGTCTCTTCCTAAGTCTCTCTAGTAGAAGTGTTTGTACACTGTATGATTCAGCATCATCATCTCAAGTTGATTTTTACTGGATCTCTGTTCAAAAGTCCAATATCATCAAATCTTCTATCGAGTTCTTCCACCTTTCTCAGTAGACCAGGGCTGGCCATGGGGGTGGGCGGCCCAGTCAGGAGCCTGGGTGGCAACCCAGTACATCCTGCCAAAGAGGGCACCGTGCACAGGGTTTGGTATCTGAGTCCCACCTGACCTGCTGAGAGCCAGCTGGGCTGACAGGGGGAGCCAGACAGGCAAGCAACAGCATCTGGAGAGGGCGGAGGGACCAGAGCTGCAAGGGGCAGTTGGACATCCAGCCAGGGGGGCAGTTGGACAACCCTCCTCCAGAGCAGGGATGCCCCTCCCACCTGCTCCACTGCTGTCTGCAGCCACCACTGCTTCTCCCTCCCCCCCCCCGTCCCCTCTGGCCATGCTGCTCTGGACCACGAGCGTCCTGTCTTCTACGCAGAGCAGGTGGGAGCCATGAAGGTAGGGTGTTCTCCTCCCCACACCTGTGTACCCAGTCTCCGCTGAGCTGAGGTGGCGGGACAGGGGGGAATCTGTCTGTGTTGCTGCCTCTCTGGGTCAGAAGTGGGAGCTGCCAGCAGCTGCTTGTGCCCGAACAAGCATTCAAGCTCCTGATCCTGAGTGCTTTCTTAAAGAGACAGCGAGATGACACACTCAACCAGGCACGCACACACACACTCCCCTCAGCACACATACACTCACACACACCCTTTCTCTCACACTCCCCAACACTCACTGCCTCTAACATACACACACATTCTCTCACACATGCTGTCTCGCACACACTCTCACACATGCACAGTGACACACACTCCCCCGACACACACACGCTCTCTCACACACTCCCCAACACACACACACTCTCACACACATTCTCACACATTCCACCAACACACGGTCTCCCTCACACAGTCCCCGCAACACACACAGCACCGGGGCTCCCTGCATCCAGGTCACTTTCTCCACCTGGGGAGCCCAGATGGGGAAAGTGACTCTGTGCAGGGAGTCCAGATGTTGCTTCTCACTCCCCCACCCCCCGACACAGCTACCTAGGGGTACACAGAGGAGAAGTATTTGGAGAGGGAGCAGCATTGCCAGCTGCTCCATGCATCCAGATCAGTTTCTCCATGTGGGTGCAAGAGGGGGATGCAGGGGTTAAGGGTGCAGGGGACACAGTGCAGGGGGTTGGGGTGAAGGGAGGGTGGGGAGCCTTGGGAGCCCACAGGGGCCAGGGGCAATGGTGGGGAGGGGAGCGCCAGGCCCATCAAAATACAAGTTCACCCAGGGCACCATTTTCCCTAAGCCTGGCCCTGTAGTAGGCCATTCATGGCTGCCACACTGCAACTGAGAAGGTTGCTGGTCTTTGATCACATGCCCTCTGAAGCTTGTGTCTTTGTAAGTTGTTTCTGTAGTGAACTGGCTCATGCAGTTCAGAATACGTCCAGGGCTAGTCAGAGTTGTCAGGTGACTTCAGCTCTGGAAGGGGTTGAAGGTGATTGTAAGTCCCTCCTGAGATGATGGTAACATCAGCTCCTGAGTTAATTTTAAAGTCAGTAGTCTTGCCATAAATATTCGGTTTTACTCCCCAGGAAGGCTCTATGTCATCACAAGTCATAGATCCCAGAAACAGTTCTTGATTGTCTGTAATATAAATCAACTCCCTGACTGCTTTGGTGTAGCGAACAGCTGCAAAATGCCCACAGTGAATGCATTTGTTTATGCCAATATGCCTCTCACTGGACATGCATCATGTCTTGTGATATGACTTTTCCCTGCACCTTGTGCACGTAGGCTGGAATTTGTCCCTCTTAGCCTGGAAGTTCTCTCTCCTTGCTTCAGGGGTCTTTTAGCTCTCACGCTGCATCTGTTAACAACTTCTAAGATAGCTTGTTTTTCAAGTTGTTCTTTGTTTGGCTGTCTCACCAGCTCAGACTGCTTTGCTTTCTGTATAGCTGTAGCTAAGGTTAAATCTCTCTTCAGTTGTAGCTGCTCTGAAGAATGTTTAATCTGTTAACCCAATAACCAGCCTGTCTCTGATAGTTTCACATTGTGCATTCCAAAAATCAGTTTTCAGCCAACATATGCAGAGCTCTTATAAAACATTATGCATTTCCCTGTTTCTTGAATTTTCTGCTGAAAACATACTCTTTCATAAAATCACATTTCTCTAAAGTAGAAGGTATGCAGCAAACATAATCAGAACCCTTTCATAGTCATCGTTGTGACTGTCTTCAGTAAAGTCAAAGGATTTAAAGATATGCTCTGCTTGCTTCCCCACAACATAAATTAAAGAAAATACATACCTGTGTATCTCCAGTTTCTTTGTAGAGTTTGTTTGTAATTCAAAATCTTGCCAAATACTGCTTCCAGTCTGCCCGTTGTGAAAGTTGGTCAAAGCTGAAGTTCTCTGGAGCTTTGACGAGTGACATATTGATGAGATCCTGCCACCTTTGTTGCTTTGTTCCTTCTGTCTGTAACCTGAGTTGCTGTTTTTCTTCTGTGTCTGTTCTTGGTTTACTCCTAACACTATGTCATGTGCTTCTGTACCAGATATGGACTGGCTACAGAGCTTGTTTATACCCAGCAGATGTGTTCATCATAATATTCTTTAATGCTCTGCCAGGTATTGGTGAATTTAGTTTAAATAAGGTATTATTTTACAGAGAGCCACCTCATGACTGAACAGTAGAATACAATTTAGCATTCACAATTCACACCTAAGAACAGCCCATCACAGAAGTGTCACATTAGGATTTTGGAAACAAGGAGGGGAATGGCTGCTTAAGGCACATTTGTCCTGTGTTGGCCCATCAGCATGGTAATATTGGGGTTGGTCCTGGAGGAGGCTGTTTGTCCTCCTGCTAGGAGAATATCTTGCTTGTGATACACAATGGCTACATTTGTAAAGTAGAGCAAAAGGCCCTGCACAAAGAAGTCTCTTCCCCAGACGTACAAATCTAAGGACTCTCAGCTGGAACATCCCAGCCTCTCTCTAGAACAAGGGTAATGCATGAAAAGAGAGGCTAAATAAGATTCTCCTGACCATACCATAAAGGCCTTTACACATTTTATCTGGTTTGTGATGGGCTAATCACCTTCTGCTCATTGCTACATATAGCAAAAAAAAAAAAAAAAAAAAAGGAGCAAGCGGAAAAGAATTCTTGCCTCTTTGGCCGCTCTGTACTGTGGAAGAATAGCTGTGAAATGTTCCTGTGCAGAGATGAGCAATGTGCCAGACTGAGCCAGCAGAGTTGGTGGCCTCCTCTGAGCAACACTGATCAACCAGTTCACTGTAAACAATAAGTTTGCTCATTTTACTACATTAGTTGATATGGGTGGCTCTTCTTAATGGTGTTGTTCTATCATAGATGAGTCATTTATTGCTAATGGCTGTCTTATTTTGACATTGTAGGTATGTCACAGGGCCATTATTCACCAGCAAATTGGCTCAGAGATGGGGAAGTGCAGTGTGTGTCATACTTATAAAATAATAGTTTACTGCTGCTTTAATTTTCTCCTGGCTTCCAATTTACAGAGAGCTTTCAACAATAAAAAAAATTGAAATTAGGGTTTTAAAAGCACATTTGAGGGACTGAGAATACACTTGAAATAGTTTTGCAGTTCATGTAGCCAGACAGTGATAATGACATATATTTTATGGTCAAAATGTTTCAGTGCTTCAAGAGAACTTAACTTTTGCTGGGAGATGGAGTCTCCTGAAAGATGGAATAACATTGTTTCTGCATAGTTTCATTTTTGCACTAATGAATTCCTCTTCTTCGAGCATGCAGAGGATTCCAGCCAGATTGACAGAGCTGTGAGATGAAGACTGTGGGTCAAAAATGCTTTTGATTTTTAAGCAGAACTTCACAACAGGGCCTTCTCTATTTATTATTTGTACTTTCCCCTAACTGATAGGACAGAAATAGTAAGGGCCAGATAGTGAATTATAAAATGAATATAAAAACTAGCCCCACAACTCCCTGATGGCAGGATCCCTATGTGGCTTGCTAATGCAATTTGTTTTAATATATGTGAACAGCATCAGTTGCTATGGGTATGCTCACTACATTATTTATTAAATAAGAATGGCATTAAGATTTAGTGCCATAGGCTGGAAAAGAAATTCCCTTACAGTATTACATTTCTTTCAAGGTCACACAGAGGTTAACTAACTATAAAAATACAGAATGTGTACCACATACAACTGAGTCTAAGGATGTTGCAGCAACTACAAGTTGTCCTTTCAACTTCCCTTATTGGTGGACTCATGACCAGTCCTGGAAAAGGTCTGATCTAGAAGTGTGGAATAGGAGACGGGATTCATGGGTTTTATTCCAGGCTCTGCCTCTGGTTTGCTGTGTGACTTCGGCAAGTAATTTAAATGTCATGTCGTCATTCCCCACACACACACACACACACCTTATTTACTGAACTACTTTCTCTAGTTTTTCTTTCTCCTTGTTATATTTCTATAAAAGCTAGAGCTAGTTGGAAGATGTGATTTTTTTTTTAAATGACACTTACTGTTGAAAAGCATCTGAGTGTTCATCAAATATTTTTCAGTGGCAATTTGCCAGTCAGCTATAGAGGACTGGTCAGAAAATGAAAACAAATGGACAAAAAGAAGTTGTTGGTTTTTTTCTGTCTACTATTTTCAGACAAGCTTTAATGAAAGTTCATTATTATTCCCTTCTGCCCTCTTGGCTAGCATTAACTCAGTCCTTACTTTTTCCATGTGCATTCTTGTATAGCTGTCTCTCTTTTCATTTATTATTTTTAAAACCTCAGATCTTTGAGACAGTCATTAGGAAGCCACAATGGCCATTTTCTGCTTGCATTCTTCTTTTTCAGGCCAGCTATAGTTAGTATGTATTTATGGGGTTCTTCAGAACAATGCTACTATTTTCTACATGGACAGATTTTGTTAACTTTCTTCCTCTGATCTTCACTATATAGATTCCTTAATTTTTCAGAACGTTTATTCTATGAATTCACCATCTATTACACTGAATGTAGGTGGCTCATGCGGATTAGTTCCAAACCTTTCTCTGTTTTTCTCACATTCTCAGACTTCCTATTTCTCTATGCATGCAGATTGTATCAGTCCAGGCACTGTCGGTAGACTTCCTGCTACAAGTAATAAACAGTGCAAGATTGTTAGAAGGTATGATCTCAACTCTTCATTTGGATTTACTTTGAGTGGTGAAGAAAGTGAACCAGTGCCTCACTGAACCATTAATGGGAAGACCCTAGAAGTATCAGACCATGTAAGTTTGAGAATTGCTTCAACTGGGAAACCTCAAACTGGTGAGACTCTTGTGATACCTGCAGGCAAAAAAGGATCTGTCATCGATTCTTGGGGATAAACCTGCAAAATGGCTGGATATCATTTCTTTATCTAAGAGCGTGCCAAGAAGAATTTGAGACATGGCTTCTCAAATAAAGGAAAAGCTGTGTGTAAAATAGAATAAGGCCTGGTCTACACTTAAAATTTAGGTCACCATAGTTACATCACTCAGGCATGCGAGCACAAGCAATGACCAGGAAATTCGGCAGTGTTTTGGCAAAAATTAAAATAGTGGCTCTTCATGCTAAGTTCACTCAGTGCATAATCATGAGGCACTAGTTGCCAACAAATGCCTACAGGGTGGCAGGAATAATTTTTATAGTGGGGGTGCTGAGAGCCACTGAACCAAACTGTAAACCCTGTATATAATGGAAACCATTTCAAGCCAGGGGGTGCTGGAGCATCCCCAGCACCTCTAGTTCCAGCACCTATGAATGCCTGTTGATCTGAAAGTCATTCTGAATCAGGCTGTAAAGATGTTTAATTTTATTAAAGCACAAGCACTGAACTCACACTTGTTTTCAGTTTTGTGCATTGAAACAGGAAGTGAACACCAACACCTTCTCCATACAAAAGTGTCATCACGTGGGAAGATGTCTGTTCTCTGAACTCCATTCTGAAGTACAATTTTTCCTTAATTATTTTAATTTTGAGTGTGCTGATTGCTTTGTGGATGAATTAAGCCTGTCAAGACTAGCTTATCTAGCTGACTTGTTCACACATCTCCATGAAATGAATGCCAGTTACTGGGGCTGAAAACTATGCCTTTTAATGTTCACGACAACATAAAGGCAATGATAAAGAAACTGCAGTTTATAGTACAAGAAAAAGAAAAGAGAAATTGCCAATCACTCCCAACCTTGGAAAATTTTCCATATTGAAAATTCATCCCGACCTCATTGCTGACATGAAAAAATTTGGTCTGAAGTTGGTCACCAAGTTTAATGAGTACTTTCCAGACAGTGTAACAAATGAGACCAAATGAATCAGGGACCCCTTTTCAATAGACAACACTCTGCCAGATTGCTTCTTGGCAAAGGACAAGGAAAAGCTGACTGAACTGTCATCTGATGGTGGACTCAAGCTTGAATTCAGTGACTTTTAGTTGAAAAGGAGAGAGGAGGTGTGATATCAGACAGAGCTCTTAACATTCTGGATGCCCTCAGGATGATGTACCTTTGTGAAGCTGTTTTTTCTGCCCTGCTCACCATTAAAAACCAAATCCAGGACGAACCTGAATGCAGAACTAGCCCTTCAGTTGAAGCTGACCAATATCTCTCTTGACATAAAGCAACCATGTTACGTAGCAATCATACCCTTCTGATCTATGGCATGTTTTTCATTTTCTCCATGGCTACTAAAGAAAAAACATATGTTTTTCATTATTTAAGTGTTGCAACAAGGAAAGCAAAGTGAACACTGGCTCATATTCAACAATAATCCAGGTAAGGATGAGCAGGATCTTCAAATTCAGTAAAATGAATTAGGGTTAGGGTGACCAGATGTCCCAATTTTATAGGGACAGTCCCAATATTTGGGGCTCTGTCTTATATTGGTGCCAATTACCCCCCACCCCGACCTGATTTTTCACACTTGCTGTCTGGTCACCCTAGTTAGGGTTAGCCATTATAATAATGGCTTCTTCATTGTATTTCTTTTTGATGCAATGTTTAAAAACTTGAGATGTTTAAAAAGGATGTTAAAATTGAACACTTCAGGCTTCCTTTGACATTTATTTTGATATATAGTGTCCAAAAATACTTATGTTAAGTCTATTAAGATATAAACTAAATGTGCACAAAAAGGAGAAATTGGTATGTGGAAATTCAAACAATTTTTTTCCCCTAGGAATGTGGCATGTAACCCACCCCACCCGCCACTCGTGTCTCTTTGCTCCCTCCTTGTTTGGGGAGGCTTAGCCTCTCCTAGCCTCTTGTACCCACTGCCAATGGGGATGGGAGAATGGTATAAAGAGGTAGCTTGTAGGGAGGAATGGAGGGATGCAAAGAGACCCTGGTGTGTGCAATGGGCAAGGAACAAAGTGTGACACCTCCCTCCCCCCCAGTTAAATAAGTGCAACTTGTGTATAAACAGACTGGGCCCAGGATGTAGATCCAGTATTCACCTTTGGACAAGGGATCACTTACCAGTTCTGCAAGCCCGCCAATTCCCCAAAATTATCAACACTCTGCGGTCAGATTCAGACCACTGATCCAATGGTGAAAGGTCACTATTCCCTATCTTGGAACCATCTAGTCATTATCTG